ACACCCCCATCATGAAGACCAAGAAGTGGACGGTGGAGCGGACCCGCACCATCCAGGGCCTCATTGACTTCATCAAGAAGTTCCTCAAGCTGACGGCCTCAGAGCAGCTGGTAGGGACTGCCCAGTGCCTTCCCCTGCAGGGCTCTGGAGCAGTGGTGCTCATCCTTTTTAGCTCAGGGGCTGGATGGAGGAGCTGCCTGGGGCTGGGCCACCTGCCAGATCCTGCTCACAGGGTCATCCCATGGCTGGATCCAGCTACGGCCCAAAACCCAGCACAGTTGTATAAGCTGCTTCCATGCCCCAGGGATCCTCCTGGGTTTGGAAATCTGGTGGCAGGGAAGCAGCAGCAGCATTAGTTGCTGTGGCTCTGGGAGCAAGTAAAGCTCTGCTGCTCCCCGCTGCTAGATTTTGAGACCTGTGGGGAGACCCCCTCAGGCTGGATGACATGACTCCACAGGCCAGAAATTCAGCACCATTGCACTCAAACCATAAGAAAGGGCTGCCCCTTTTAGGAGAAGTTCCCCTGTAGCTGGTCAGGCCGGCTTGGAAACCTTCAGCATCATGCCCCTGGCCACTCAAGCTGTGGGGCTGGTGCTGTATGCAACCCAGCTGGCCTTCCTAGAGGAGGGAACGAACCACCAAAGTTTGCACTTGCTGACCAGTTCAAAGCATGGCCTGCTCCAAGGCTATTAGAACTGAGGCCATTAAATTTAGAGGCAAATTGAATACAGAAACAGTATTCAAGTGTCCTTTTAAGAATCTAGTCTGGCATAACATACTGAGGAGTCAGGCTGTAATTCCCCAAAGGAATGCAACTCCAGGCTGATGCTGCCACCATATCCCCAGAGTGTCTCACTGTGCCTCTCCATTTCAGTTAGTCTGGTAGGATTGTAGGGCTACAGGATAACTTGTATACACACATCACAGTCTGTATAGGGCTAAAATGTGGGCTGAAGCCTCAAAAATGAGATGCTTGAGAAACTCCTGGAAGCATTAAGTCACATGGGATTGAGTTCCTAAGCACTGGTGCATTTATCGCTCTGTATTGACTCAGAATGTTTATCGCATTCAAAATGTAAAAACACAGAGAGAAAGTGATGCAAAGGGTGAAGTTAAATGAGCATTATCCTACATAGTGGATAATCCTGTGAGACCTGCCAATGAACGGTTTTTGTTTAATGCGGCAAACTTCTTGCATAGATATTGTAGCTGGGGAAAAAAAAAAAGCATGAGATCTAAAAAAATCTGTTAAAAACAAGTACAATTGAAACATCCGCAAATATATATAGTCAATGCAGTTAAACAACCTGACTCCTTTCTTCTAGTGGTGCAGTACTCCAATCTTTCCTTTTTTGGTTCTCTCGTATGTATATCTGCTCTTGGAAACCCTTACTCATGTAATTAGTAGTTTATTTGATCACACCTTTGCAAGCAGAGTTCAGGAACAAAGATGCCTTTCTATGATGAGTTTAAAGTTCACAGGCAATGGAAGCAAACACTTTTCTGGAAAAATCATTGTAGTAGTCCAGTGATAATAGCCTTTTCATCTTCCCTTAGTCATCTGTTCTTGTGAAGGTCTTAGGAAGTGCACAGTCTGTAGAAGGAAAATGAAGAGTAAGGCTCTGAGTGAATAGTGCTTACATAGGGAGATTTTTCTAACATTTGTTTCACTGGTGATAAGGTGTCGTGAGTGAAATCTTACAAATCCAAATACTGATGACAGCAAGGGAATTTGTTGCGTTGCTGTTATAATGAATGCTTGCAGTGAATATCCCTGTATGTTATCCTTGTTTTATTGCATACGATGGAGTGTTCAAGGTTATAATCTTTGGGACTCTGCTCTTGTAAAGACCTATGCACATACTTAACTTTATGAACTGCAAGTAGATGCAGTTACCTCAAGTTAAACGTGTTTGTTGTATCTTTGCCTGGTTGGAATTTTCTAACTGTAAATGTAGAATTATTCCTTTCCTTCTTGATTGCTGTTCTCTGGTTATAATTAGAAGAAACCCGCTTTCCTTGTTTCTTTCAAGTCATATGAGCACATCTGTACATTAGAACCAGGTCAGAAGTGGTTCTTCTGTCCCACCTATTTTTAAGATGTCAATTTTTTTGTTTGTTTTATGGCATGAAATGGAGATTGTATGAACCTTTCTTATTAGGGAATGACATGAGCTACCTCAGAATGCCAGTAACCCAGTGGTTAGTGCTGTTGTGTGATCTGTGAGAGATCTGGGTTCAAGTCATTTCTCTGGCTAATTGAAAACCTAAATTCCCCTACATCCTGGTTGAGTTTTCTAACCACTGATTTACTATATTTTCTGGGATGACTCTCTAACTAGAAATTCTTTCTATGTTAAATGCATTACAAGGAACTTGGGTTTGTTTCAGGGATTGAGCTGCATATACAATAAAGCTGGATAAAAAAACCTATTTGCATTGCTTGGAGGAAAAATACTTCCACGAACAATAAAATATTATTACTTCTTCATGCATGCACTCACACACACATGTACACACTTTTGCCAATAGTCTCTTCAAGACCTCTGTTCACTTGGAGGACACCTCCTGATGGGATTTTTTTAGTAAGCCTTGTAATTTTTCAACACACTGTATTTCAAAAAGTAGTTGAAATTTTCTTCCATGGAATAGGCTATTTAGTTCATCCTCCTTTTCACTGTCAAAACCACTTCAATAACTTATAATAGCCCCATATTCTTCTCATGTGGTTTCCAGCTTCAGATTGACTTTAGAAGCAGATTCCCATTGTAAGACTCCTAGAATTACTCTAAAATGTGATCTAGATGTTTTGCATCCCAGGAAAGAGCACTCTGATATCACATAGTTTGAAGTTTTCTATTCTTATGAATGAATGACACTATTTACTAATGGTTTTTATAGAGCGCAAGGAATAGTGTTTGAAAAATAAGGGGATGAAAATGCTTCCATGAACACTGCTCTGTACAGGAGGTTCTGCAGCAGAGTGGGAGTGCCAGGTGATGAAAGCAAAAGAGCAAGGCCCAGAATTGATGGCTGTACTCTGTGTTGCAGAGTGGATAATCAGGGAACAAAACTGTTGGGTACCATGCAGTCCTTCCCTGCCAAAAGGATAGGGGCTGTGATGCAGTCTTTCAGGATGCAGAACCAGGGTTGCATGGGAAACAGAGTAATGTTTATCCCATCCATGTCAAGGCTATGGGATAGAATTTAGACAGGAGAATAATTTGCAAGTTAGATTTTTATGTTCTGTTTTCTTCCCTTGCAGTTTATATATGTGAATCAATCCTTTGCTCCCTCTCCAGACCAGGAAGTTGGGACCCTCTATGAGGTAACTATAGTTTTAAGTGTTGTCCTTTCTTAATCTCTGTTTAGCAGAAACTGGGTGGTATACTAATTTGCCTTTTAAAATCCGCCATCTGCCTGTCCATGTTGATGGCCTCTTGAATGTGTTCATCACGATCACATCGAGCAAAATATCACACAAATGCATTCATAAAAATCCTGATATAGTGTTGACATCTTGTGTGCAACACGTTGTATCTCACATTGAGGTATTTATTATGTAACAGTGGTTCGTGATACATTGTTCTGATGATAATGGTATATTTATTAATAAAATGCTGTTTTGATAAACTAACCCCCGGGTGCATGCTTTCTGTTTCCATTCTCTCTCCTTCTTTCCTGCAGTGTTTTGGAAGTGATGGCAAACTTGTACTCCATTACTGCAAGTCTCAGGCATGGGGATGATTGGTGAGCAGCTGCTGTTGTTTAGTGGTGACATTCAGAAAAGAAAAGGGCTCTCATCTTCAGAAACCTTGCTGCCCATGGACATACTGAAGAGAAGGATTGTACATTACTGCCTATGAATTTACTTTATTCTCTGCATTTGTCTGCAAAATCATGCAGATGGCTAGCATGCAAGAAACACCAGCAAGCCTGCTCGGTCATATACTTTTCTTTCTTGTGTCAGCCATGGCATACAAATGGTTCTTCATGTGCCATTGCTAGAGTAGAAGTACTTTTCCCACTGATGAGCTCCCTGTTTACCGTATTTGAAAGGACATTGTTTCATGACTTGTGGACTGCATCACTGTAAATGCTGTACTGAATATTCAGTTTCCCTTTGGAAAAAGTATATTTCTATGTACACTGGGACTCATTTTCATCCTGACAGA